GCTAAAATTGATAGAATTCTTTTCAGAACATGGAAAAATGCTATTTCTCACTCATAATTAGAGAAATAAATATCACCACATATCAAGATAAACTTTCATTTTTTCTATATTTTGAATTGGTAAATTTAAATGTGAAATTTCACAGTTTTGTGAAATGGTAATATAGCCACATAAGTGCACAATTCTGAATATAGTTTCATTCATATAAAGACTTACTAAATTATTATAACCATAATTCCAAAAGACACATTTGTGCATGTGCAATTTGTTATTTTTAATGTCCTCTTTGTAACAAATACTGAATTATAATACATATTACATGGCATTTTAATGTACTCATTACAATACATATTTAAAAAACCCTGAAATTCATAGATCTATAGGCATTCTCAATGATTAAACTTATGAATTCATGTGCATGCATTGAAATATAGATAAGAGGCCTTCCCCTTATTTTCAGGTCAAAGTCCCAGTCAGTGGTGATTTTTTAGGACAGCTTTCCTTGGGTTGTAGCTGTTTAATTGAAAAGTTAAACATTTTTAACTATAACTTGAATTTAGAAGTTTGAACTCACAAGGGAATTTGTTCCAGTTGCCTTCAGAATAAATTCTTATTTATGATGATTATTATAATTACCTATTTCAAGTGAAAATAGTCATGTTGACTAAAATAATTAGTAGTCTATGTGGGATCTGGTTGTTAAAATTGAGTAATATTGTGTCTTTAATATGAACATGGGAAATACATAGATTGCATTAACATAATGTTAATGCTTCATTTCTTTACTAGAATGACCATAAATGATATAAGTTGATGTAATTTCTTATTAAAACTTTTCAATCATGTGATACTATGTATGCCCCTTCATACATCTATTTGCATATCTGCTCCTGTGGTTACTCTTACAGTTCTACCTTTTTTTTCAAAGTAGCTTTTACACATTTTTTAAAGGATTCACTGCCCCCAAAACAATTAGAACTTTTTGTGCTTGAGGTTCTAGATTTTCCTATTTTTTTGTTTTGTTTAATTTTACATTTTGTTTTTTTGTTTTTCTTCTTCATAGCGGTCGGTCACTACACCAGAAGTATCATGCCCTTTCTCATGGACTCATGCATCTTAAACATCCCCTATAATCTGATAGACATTACAAATTTGAACTTAACTGAAATTGCAATTGATGATTAAAACTAATGGTCTTTTTTCCTGGACATTTTCAATGTTTCTTGTATAATTTCAAAAAGGTAAAATCTTTAACAATTTGAACTATATAACTGACACAATTTTATTTGTAATTATAACCTGAGTCTTGGTTTCTAAAAGATATATATATGAATGGACAAGATATACTGTGAAAACTAATAGAAAATTGTGGAAATGTTAATAATGGTATTTACCATTTTAAGTTTATCAATTCTAGAAATTGCAATGATTATTTAGTTTTCCCTATTGAGCAACACCAATAGAATTTTGGTTAAAATATATTGTTACACTCCTAAGAAGTTATAATAAACTTTCTTTTACATATGTGTAAAGAATTATTCAATATGTCATAAATACAAATACATAAGTCACACATACATGACTTGCTCTTGAACATATTTAAATTTTCCAGAAATGCTGAATAATAGTTGATATCACAGCGCAATGTTATAACTTATTCTAATAAATAATTACATTAGTTACAATACACTCTACTTAGCATAATGACTGTCAGAGACATTACAATAATTACTGTACATTATTCTAATGAAACTTGGTGTATATGCTTTTTTCTACTGAACCTATATTCTTCTAACTTTGTTAAATTGTCAGAGGTATATCCAGTTGTGAAAATAAAAATTTATACAGAGAATAAAATTAATATAGATTTCTATCCACCAACACAGACCTTTACATTTAATATAAATAATCAAGAATCATTTATAAAGCAGAATATTTCCAAAATGTGAAAATTAAAAAGGCTATTAATTACATGCACTTTGAAAATAATCATTTCAAATTAAAGGATGAGAAATGCAGTATGTCTTTGTTAAACAAAAATTTTATTTGAAGCAATTGTTTTCAAAGAAAAGAATTTCTAAAGTAATAGAGACAGTCAATCATTTTCTCATTAAAGATCAATTAATTAAGCAAAATGATAGCTCTTTAAAATCACTTTATTTTTTGTAATGTATATCTGGTATAATTGGATAGGTGTATGCATGCCAGTTCAGGTGCCTTTGTGGGCCCAAAGCAGCACTGGATCTCGAGGAGGAGGAGGAGATAGTACATGTTTAAGGTGCCAGAGGAGGATTCTGGGAACCAAACTCTAGGCTTCTTTGAGAGTTGTATAAGATCTTCACCGTTGGGCAGTATCTCCAACCCCAATACAATGGGATGAATGAACCCAAAGCCTTGAACATGCTATGCAAGCTTTTCTGTCACTGAGATGCATCCCAATCCCACTTGTCTTAAAAATACACTTGAATAATAGAACATCTGCCTTCATCTAAGCATAAAACTAAGTGAAAGTTCACCATACTGGATTACCTTGCCCAGCATTTATGTAGGGAGAGGGGCTCAGTTCTACCGCAACTTGATGTGTCCATGCTATATTCAAGCCCATGAGAAGTCTGCCCCTTTCTGAATGGAGAAGGAGGAGGAGTAGCTGAATGGGGAAGAGGGCAAATGTAAGTGGGGTAGGAAGGAGAGGAGAGAAGGAGGGAGAAACTGCACTCTGTATGTAAAACAAAGGGAAAACATTATAAGTAAATAAAACTAAGATTAGGAAAGTAACAAAATATGTGACCCTAAGTATAGAATGCTCTTCATCCTTTAGTTATAACTATGGTAAATAGGAACTTAGGAAGGACATCAGACACCATGGAACATTTCTTGTTAATATTTAATTTACATGTTGACTGATTTGTCTGTATTTAGTAAACATATGAGAGAGAGAGAGAGAGAGAGAGAGAGAGTATACTTCGTATCACTGCTCGAAATATGAAAAAGACTGATACAAGATGATCTAAGCTGAGAATTTCCAAGAGGTAGGCACAATAAAACTGGTTTTGGATAAAAGACTATGAGACAAATCCATGAAATCTCAGAGGTGCTACAAGGAAATAGTATTTATAGGATAATAATATGCTCTGTTGTCATTTCCCTTCCTAGAGTAGCTCCACATACAAAATATATTTATGAAGCAGTAGATATTTCAACAATAATAAACAGAAATCTAAGAAAAGTTTAATTAGCTACAAATTATTCAAAAATAAAACTTCCTTGGACATTTCTGTAAAACTATTTTTCTTTTGTAGAATTAAAGAAATGAGAGCTAAAGAGGAAAGGAAGAGAAAGGAGGTGGAAATGAGTGAGATGCATGATAGGTTTTTAATTAAAATGTAATAAAGCATTTACCTTCATAAAACACTGAAGACCGTTTCACATATGGAAGACCTAATTACTATGGATATGTAGAAAAAATCCTGTTATCTCAACCTCATAAATAGAAATGTTTGTGTTAGATGTTTTTCTTTGCATATCAGAAATTTGAACATTTGGGGGAGAGAAGTAATTTGATGTTAGTCTTAAAATCACTGATTTTTATAATATTAAGATTATATCAATAGCCACACAATAAATAAAATACTAACAAGATGTGAACTCTATGCAGTTGATGACTAGATAGGCTCTCAACATATGTTATGGTATTTTGAGGACATCTAAAATACCAAAATAAGGAATATTAAATTTAATTTTTTAATTTAGTTCCAATAATTTAAAAAATGTATCTGGCTGAAATGACAGACTCTAGAGATTCCCCCATGGATGGCCTCACCCTCCCTGGGGAACATTGTGGGGGTTGGGGAGCTCTGGAGGGCTGGTGGAGGAGCAAGGGAGGAGGGAATGGAGAGGGAACTGGGATTGACATGTGAGGCAAACTTGTTTATAATTTAAATAAAAGAATCATACTAAAAATAGTTACTCAAATTTAGTCTTTCCTATAGGTCTTGGTAAGTTTGTCCTGCAAAATGTGCCACATATGATATGGTATCATATTTTATTTAAGGTGTATAGAATCAGTTCAATTTTATTTTGTAATTATTTCAAAAATATTGTCTGTTAAAAGTTTGTTTAAAAGACAAAAAAAAATTTTGTTCTATTAAAATCCCTGGGAATGGCTCAGGTAGTAAAGCATTTGCCACACAAAAGAAATCTTCAGGATTTCTGTTTCTAGAACCTGGATACTGCTAGGCATGGTTGTGCATGCCTTTATTCCAGCAATCCTAAGGAGAGATGAGATGCAGAAGCTAACCTTCTGAATGGCATGGGACAATCAATGTGTTGTAGACACTGGAGAAAAACAGACTTCATGTCAATCAAAATTGAAGGCAAAGACCAACACTCAAAGTCATCTTCTGATCTGCTTAACTAACATAGCACCATAGCATACACCTGCCTACATTTAATCTCATGAACACACACGGACACACACACACACACACACACACACACACACACAGAGTTATTTGCAAAAGGAAACATTGCCTTGATATTCTAACCATATTGATTCTAATAAAATTAAATGTAAAAGTATTTATCAAACAATTTACAGTATGACCAAAACTAATGCTCCGTATCATCCAGGATGCATGCATTGCCAGTGTGCAAGGCATTAAACATATGTGTAATATTTTCATATTTCACAAATGAATAGTTGAGTATCAGATTCAATTAGAAATATAAAATTGCTGTGATAAATTGTTTTACTGAGATTAAATAAACCTTTCAACAAAACTTCAAAGCATTGTAGTGTGGCTCTTTTCCTCTAGTCAATCAAGCCTCTAGTCCAATTGGTTCATTAATTTGGACATCAATGGAATAACTCTCAACAGGCATCAAAGCCTCCTCTGTGGTGAAGAGACATCCATTCTTATCTCTCCAGGAAAAGAAAAGGCAACTTTTCCTTCAAATATTGTTTGTTCTTTTCAAAATTTAAGTTTAAGAAATGTGAAAGAGTGCTCGCTTCGGCAGCATATATTACTAAAATTGGAATGATTCAGAGATGATCAGCATGGCCCCTGGGAAAGCATATGTGAGTGATTCCTGTTGAGATCATTTTTTAATGAACAAAATCACAGAATAAAGATAAATCAATTAGATTTAGGGGCACATCCACTCCATCTCCCTGCCATAGACACCATTATTTAGAGGACAAAAGCACTATCATTAGTGGTTCAAGTCAGCACTACAAAACAGGTTTGAAGCTGCCTTTGCTGGGCTATAAGCAGAGACCCACAGATAAGCACTGAGCTGAACTCCTAGAATCCACTTGTAGAGAGGGAGGAGTGTCAAACAAACGGGTCAAGAACATGCTGGGAAAACCCAAAGAAACAGATGACCTAAGCAACTGGGAACTCATGGACCTCAGTCTCACAGCTGGGGAACCATCATAGGACCAAACCAGGTCCCTGAACGTGGGTGTTAGCTCGGAGGACTGGGCAGTCTATGGGGCCTGTGGCAGTGGAACCAGGATGTATCCCTAGTAAACAAACAGACACCTTAGTCTAGATATACATGGGCAGGGTGACAGCTAGGCCCTGCCCCAAATGACTTGACAGATTTTGATGATCCCTCTTGGAAGGCCTCACCCTCCCTGGGGAGTGGAACTAGGGTTGATATGTAAAATAAGATGGTTTCTAATTTAAATAAATTTATTAAATAAAAAAGATGCAGGTTTCAAGCAAATGAACAAGTAACAAACAGAACAAATCAATATAAACACCAGACTCATGATAATAAGGTGTAACCAAATTTGATGTGTGGGAAAACTGTGTTTGACATCTCTGGTTACTGATCATTCACACTTACCTCCATTCATGTGTTCAAGTATTCCATAACTTCACATTTTGGTTCTAGTTTAAACATAGACTCTTGAAAACTTATTATTTGTGTTAGTTAAGGACAAAAGACCCATTAATTTTTGACTAAAATTAAACTCAAATCTAATTATTCTTTATATAAAATTATAAAAAATTTAGAAAATATTTAAACACAATTTGATAGCTGTCTTCTCAATATAAGTGAGAAAGAGAAAACGGAAAGATAACACTGTGTGTATAGTTTCTAAATGTCACACTGAAAATCTGGTATGCATTAGAAAGACTTTTCTATTTTATTTTTTTCCAGACTGGGTGTCCATGTGTAGCTCTGGTTATTTGGAACTTGCTCTGTAGATGATGCTAGCCTTGAACTCACAGAGATCCACCTGTCTCTATCTCCCAATTAAAGGTGTAAGTCACCACCTTTCAGGTAGATAAACTTGGCTTTCAATTTGAGAAGCTACAACTTTCAATTTGAGGACTTGAACTTGTTTTCTTTGTTACTACAATGAACAGCTAAATTTTACCTAATCCTTAGAACATACAAGAATACACGAGTATTTGGCTTCATTTGGCCATCACAGATATTTACACTGCCAGTGTTATGAGAAGTATTTCAAAAACACAACAATTTACATATGTTTTAATACATTCTAGTGATGTCAGAATTTTTATACATCTCATTATATATTTTCCTAGAAAGGTAAAGTGGATATTTTGATTCTGTTAAAAAAATAAGATGCATATTATATTAATACTGATTATACAATTTGCCTATTAAAATATAAATTCACTAAATACAACAGAAACATTGATCTAAAAAGGTTTTGGAATTACCCAAACAGCATTTTTTTTATTTCCTTGACTTACAGTTATCTTTTTCTTTCCTCATATATCAAATTAACATGCATATCTCAAGAATGAGGGGACATATAATTCCTAAAAAGAGTCTTATTATTCCAAAGAGTAAATTCCTATTGAAATGCTTCATTGAGTGAGATGCAATCTCCAAATATGCTTGCATGCTGGGAGTATTCTCTTTTATTATAAACTTCTGGAAATTTATCTATGCCTCAAAAATAATCATTGCATGTAAAAGACCTTCCAATTAAATTGTGTAAAGGTAAATAGAAACATATGAGTAAAAGGCATCTAATGCTATATAATATTGCAAACTAAACTGAAAAGAGGTGCAGGTGAATTCTTAAAGAACAAGCTGCCAAGGACTACAGATTTCTGCCAGCTCTTGGAAACTGATATGGGAATATGTGCCGGCTGAGCAGTATTTTTTGCCAGCAGGAGGGATCTGGCCCAAGGAATACACCATATTGTGAAGCTTGCATCCTCATTAGAGCCAAGACTACATGGAATTTCTTGCCAATGTCATATCTAATTACTAAATATTTTTAGAAAAGGTATTTTTGAATATCTGGACAAAGTGGTATATCAGCTAACCAATCTACAGTTATGTATTCAATATATATATATATATATATATATATATGTGTGTGTGTGTGTGTGTGTGTGTGTGTGTGTGTGTGTGTGTGTGTGTGTGTGTGTGAATTACTCTCAGTCTAAGTTCCCTTTCATCCTTAATATATAAAATTGCCATAGTCCCACTCCAGGGGGTTTCAGGTCCTAAAGAGGAGGTGTGACTTCAGCAAAGGAAGGAGACTGCAATAATTTTAGGGTGACTCAGAATGTCTTCCCATTTATTGAAAACATGCTATACCTTATGTACTCCACAACAGCATTGTAATTTAAGCACAAGAAATACTGAAAGCAAATCTAATGATTCTGCAGTGAAAATGATCATCCATGCCATTATGCATTTTTCTTGAAGCAGAAAGCAGTTAAGTTCACCACGAATCTATTGTCCTCTAAGGTTCAGTAACCCTGCCAGGCACCATGTTATACTTCCTCCTGCATGGTCTGGCCTCAGCCTGTGTACTCAGGAGCTGTAAGACAGTGAGTCCTGAGAAACAAACCTGACATTGAGTCCTGAGAAACAAACCCGTAACAGCAATTTTAATTCCTCAAGGGACATTAAGGGACATGATACAGTGTTTGAACTGTGTGCATTGATCTGCCTAGTAATTGCATTTTGTCTTATAATGCCCTGTTCTCCTCATAAGCTCCCAAAAGGGAGGCCCTGACATCTTACTCTTTCTTCATTGTACCGTACCATTCTGATTCCTTCCGTTTATGTTTCTGTATATTTCAGAGAGGGATCAAGCCAGTCTAACCTCTTCATAGTGTTTTCCTGTGGGGCAAAGCAGATCTTGTCATTCATCCAGTAAGCCATACTCTTGGGCACTATTCTGTACTTACTAACTGATCTCTTGCCCTAAATGGCCTCAGGCTCTGGATCTGGGTTCCTTGTTTCTCCAGCAGGTGTTTCTTATCCCAGGGGCCAGGTGTGGTCATTTTCTTGTGTGGAGTAGGCAGAGTTATCACACTACAGGGTTCCAAAGCGGCAGGGAATTTTTTCCAAAGAATTATTTTGTCTAAAGAGACTGCCATTTTACACATTTCCATTCTCCAGCAAAGCCTGCACAAAGTTTCCCAAGGAAAAGAAATTAGGAAACTCCCATAATACCCAGTGAAAATCGTTTAAATTGAAAGTAAAAGGCTGCTGGAGAATTGTGATGTGCATTGTTGAAATACAGGAACTTTGTCAAGCATGAGTGGTCACCAAGCATTTCATGGTGTGAAATAAAGTAAAAATGTGATGAATTCTTTGAGGTATTTAATATCATTTAATACTATTCTATAAAAATAGAAGACTGTCGTGGTCTAATAATGAATAATAATAATCCTATGTTAAATAGCGGCTGCTTATGAACATAGAAATAATATCCTTGAAGGTTACAATCTACTACACTCTCAGAAATTGACTGTGTCAATATCAGGACTATATAATCTTCATATCTAAAAGAATATAAAGCTTTTCACTCCACATTTATCTTCTCTAACCTCAAACCTTCAGTCTTTTTCTACATATTCTTAAATGATGTTCTTAAATACTGGATAACTTGTGTAATAACCAGAGGTAGTGGATATTAAGGCTACTAAATGTCACCAAAAACTGCATAAAAGAACAGTCTTACTTATTCATTCATTTATTTGTTTATACTTCAGGTCCAAATTTCCTCAAGATATTTGCACTTTTATGACAGTTAACAGGATAATTGTCCTGTTACTTTTACTTGGTTCTATAATCTAACCTCATGTGTGGGAACAACAGACCTTGGATGGAGGCCCACTTCCACATCAGATTGGGATCAGGCAGCTGTAAGACAATGTTTACTAAAAACATGTTTACTAAAAACAATACAGGAAACGCCCTGACCTTCACCTTTTCCAATCCAGAGCAATAAGTTCCTGATAAGGGCTCGCCCACAGGAATGCCCTGACCTCAACCTTTTCTTTTCTTTTTATTATCACTTTTTATTTTAATTTTAAATAGCTTGTTTTACATGTCAATCCCAGTTCCCTCTCCCTCCCCTCCTCCCACACACCCCATCCCCCCCCGCAGCCTCCCACCCTATTGCCAATTCCTTCCACATAAGGGATATCTAGAGTCTGTCATTTCACTCAGGGTAGGGGCCAGGCACTCCCCTAAGAGTCCAGGCTGAGAGAGCATCCCTCTTTGTGCTATGGGCACACGATGACTGTTTGTATTACTGGGATAGACACTGATCCACTGCTCAGGGCCCCATAAGTTGCCCAGGCCTTCTCACTGACACTCACATTCGGGGGGGTCCAGATCAGTCCCATGTTAGCCTCCCCGCTGTCAGTCTGGGGTCCAAGAGCTCTCCCCTGTTCAGATCAGCTGTCTCTGCTGGTTTTGCCAGCCCATTCTTTGCCAATTTGCTCACCACTCCTCTCTTTATGTCGCTGGGTTCCTTGGGTTCTGTTCAGTATTTAACTGTGGGTGTTTGCCTCTGCTTCCATCAGTCACTGGATGAAGGCTCCTGGATGGTTATAGACATCAAGTTCATTATCAGGAATGGCATTCGATGTGGTCTCTCCACTATTGCTTAGCTTGCCAATTGGTGTTATCCCTTTAGATCACTAGAGGTCACTCTGGAGCCTGATCTGTCTTCTAACCTATGATTCCCTCTTCCCCCTATTCTACCCCTACCCACACCGACTTCCTGTTCCCCCATGACCTACTCACTCTTCCTCTTCTCCCCCTCTCTTCTTCCCAGCTCCCACTCCCCCCCCCCACCCCTCGCCGT